AGAAAGACAGAGAGATAGGAAGAGAGAAATCACCCCCCGGGGGGATGGCCACGCCACAATCCCTTCTCCTCCATTCTCCTCTCAGGAATCTTGGTCACGCACACACGTGCCCTGCGTGAGTTTAAGCCACCAGGTCCTGGACTCAAACTGTGGTCAACTACATGAAAGTCCAGCGACATAGCCATTACACCAACTGCTAGTCCCACTCCCCTCACCATCTTGACCTTCAGTTTATGTCAGCTAAAATATAGACAAACAAATAATAAATATTTAATAAAATATTTTAGCAAATAATTAGAGACCTGCCCTTAGAGATGGACAGGCAAGGTTGCACCTGGTGAACTATTCACTTAACCGCCTCTCGACCACCTTAGAGGGCTCCTCCCAGCCTATTTCGTTCCCACAGTCCCTCAGTTAATTCATGTACCAGGGCAACTAGACCTGATCAGCAATTTCAGTTGAACATATGAAACTTGGGTGGCTTAGGCATGAGGTGTGCTAACATTCCAGAGATGTTTGTAACGTGAAACAAAGGGAAAACCGCTGTCCTAGACCCTCAGTGTTCAGGAAGAGGAAGGATGAGAAGCATGCGCTTTTCTTAGGAGCCTGATAGAAACACAAAGGCTTAGAGGTACCCCGCCATGCTGAGACACAGCCACGTTTCCAGGGGCTCAGATTGGACCCACCCAGAATTCTTCATCAAGACAAACAAGGCACCCACACGACCATAGCTTCCAACTCTAAAATTCACATTCCAGTCTAAGCAATCCAATAAGAGCATTTGTAAACGTATCTAGAATCCTTCATAAAAACGAAGGGCCGGAACCACTCCATCCTCTCCAACTTTCCAACTCTGATTTCCCAAACCTAAACAAATAGAGTGCTTAGAAAACTTGTAAAGATTGAGTCTTGATTCCATCTTCATCTGCACGTACTTCTTCTCTCGTAGAATCTCTCTTCCTTTCTCCCTCTTTACTGGGACACCACCTGTCACTGAATACCTACGTAAAAGTCCCACCTCCTTTATGCAGTCTGTCCTGGAAAGTAATGTATCTTTACAGAGCTATTGTCGATATAATCACTTCCATCATCTATCACCTTGCTTCTTTCTGTTGTTTCATATATATTATCTGGTTCTCCAGTTAAATTAACAGTATGTAAAGTGAGGAATCACGTGACATTCCTTTTCTGTCCAAATCTAACATCTAATTTTGCACATGAATTATGTACTATTGACATGTATGTGGGAAACAAAAGTAAATGTTTATTAATCTCACACAATTATTTATTCCAGATGAGAACACCATTGGCTTTTCCCATAATGGACTTCACTGTGACACAGCTTCCCACACATCCGGGTGAATCAAACCAGCTGCCCCAGGACACTTGCTCTTTCACTTCTGCTGTCCTGAAGCCCACCGGGCTGTGACAACAGTGCATTAAATAGCCCCAGAAAACCTGCAGAAAAAATCTGCTCACTAGTCCTCACTGTGCCCAAACTAGACTTCTCACAGCGGCTGGTTCCGTGCCTGCCTCGGTTCGTGCTGTGCTGTCAGGGTTCTGCACACACTGCATCACACTGGCATATAAACGAGGTGGTGTTTTTTCTTTCTTTCTTTTTCTTTTTCTTTCTCTTTTTTCCTTTTTTCTTTTCTTTTCTTCTCTTTTCTTTTCTTTTCTTTCTTTCTTTCTTTCTTTCTCTCTTTCTCTCTTTCTCTCTCTCTTTCTCTCTTTCTCTCTCTCTTTCTCTCTTTCTCTCTCTCTTTCTCTCTTTCTCTCTCTCTTTCTCTCTTTCTCTCTCTCTTTCTCTCTTTCTCTCTCTCTTTCTCTCTTTCTCTCTCTCTTTCTCTCTTTCTCTCTCTCTTTCTCTCTTTCTCTCTCTCTTTCTCTCTTTCTCTCTCTCTTTCTCTCTTTCTCTCTCTCTTTCTCTCTTTCTCTCTCTCTTTCTCTCTTTCTCTCTCTCTTTCTCTCTTTCTCTCTCTCTTTCTCTCTTTCTCTCTTTCTCTCTTTCTTTCTTTCTTTCTTTCTGCTTTTGCTATAGGGCATGTGTGCTCCCAGGAGAGAGACAGAAGGAAAATGAAAAATCACCCTGTAGTGGTATGGCCACCCCATGTCCCTTCTCCTTCATTCTGCTCTTGAGATTTTAGGTGCATGTGCACATGTGCATGCACACATGCACACGCACACACACACACACACACACACACACACACACACACAGGCCCC